CAGGACCGTCAGAAACAGATCCGGGGTGAACAACTGAACCAGAAGGACCCCAAGAAGGGTCCAGGCACCGACTTGGAAGGGATTTGCCCTGACCCCCCTTCTTGAAAGACTTCCCCATGGTCCATCCCGTTCAGCCCCCCCGGCCGCCTCCAGGGTGGCATCACCTCATCTCAGTTTCTGAGGGCGCACCCCCTGTAGGATGTGGCCATCGCCTCAGGGCTTGTCCGTCCCGCTCCGCGGTGAGTCTCTGCTCCTGCGGCTGCTCTGTCGGCGGGCCCGGGCGACGGCCTGCACGCGCGCCTGCAGGCGAGCCTCTCGATGGGCAGCGCTCGTTGGCGCGGGTCGAGGCCGCAGAAGCTCGAGGGCCCAACGCACGGCCCACGAACGCCTCAGGCGACGCCCAGGGTGAGAGATACGGCCAGGACCTTCGGCTCAGCGCGTCGCCCCGCCCGTTCCGGCCCACCGCGCTTCGGGGGCGCCGCGTGCCGTCCACGTCTGAACTCCCGAGCGTCAGCGCCTCGAGCTGCTCCCTGCCCCTCGGCCCGCGGAGCGACGGTCGACGCGCTCTCCGCGTGCGAGGCGCAGCGTGTCGCCGGGGCCGCCGCCACGACACGCTGTGCAGCAGCTCCCGACGGTAAGCTCGAAGCTGGTACATTGGGGGCAGCAGCTGGGAGCACTCCTCCATCTCCTCCTCCTCCTCCTCCCCTCTCCTCCTCCTGCTCCTTCGTCCTCCTCCTCCTCCTCCTCGTCCTCCTCCTCCTCCTCCTCCTCCTCCTCCTGCTCCTCCTCCCCTCCTCCTCCCTCCGCCGCCTCCTCCTCCGCCTCCTCCTTTTCCTCCTTCTCCTCCTCCCTCGTCCTCCTCCTCCTCCTCCCCCTCCTATCCTCCTGCTCTTCGTCCTCCTCCTCCTCCTCCTCCCTCCCTCCTCCTCGTCCTCCTCCTCCTCCTCCTCCTCCTCCTCCTCCTGCTCCTCCTCCCCTCCTCCTCCCTCCGCCGCCTCCTCCTCCGCCTCCTCCTTTTCCTCCTCCTGCTCCTCCCCTCTCCTCCTCCTGCTCCTTCGTCCTCCTCGTCCTCCTCCTCGTCCTCCTCCTCCTCCTCCTCCTTCTTTTCCGGCGGCCCCCCCGTGCCGGCAGGCGGCAGGCCCGTGATGGTGCCGGTGGAGTCGCGGGCCGCGGCGGCCTCGTGGCGCGCCGACGCCGCCGCCGTCGTCGTCGCAGCCGCCGCCGGGCTTGCCAACGGCGAGGGTGGGAAGGGGAAAGGAGTGCAGTCGACGCGCATAGCAAGGACGGGCAACCTTCCCAATGGGTACCCCTTGCAGCTTTGCCTCCTCGGCCCACCCTTGGCCACTGCCGCCGCCTGGCATGCGAGCGGCGAGAATCGGAAGGGGGGAAGAGTACGAATGTCAGGTCGGGCATGTCCCTTTCTGCTGGAGGAGTAGTCCAACATAGGATAGATCTCTCTAGTCTGGGAATGTTGTTTCGACCACGTTTGGCTACTCTTGGGTATTTTTGTTTGGCTATGTTTCACTGTTTCTTCCAAGATCCGCCTGTAGGAGGACATGCCCGAGCTAATACCTCGGAAATTGGAACATGTACATCACCAGTGGCGGGCTATTTTTCAGTCCCAGAACTTTTTGAGGGTCGGGGACGACGTCGGAGTGGTGTGTTGTATACTATTTTCCCCGTTTGCCCGTGGAAACAACGAAAAATGTATACGCCAGGATCCCGTGTACACCAGGATCCGCTTGCCCCCCAAAAAAGGTCCCGGAACTCAATGGTTTTCACGTGTCGGGCCCTGGGAGACACTCGTCCGACACTGTTTCGACACTGTTTCGACACTTTTCCGGGCGCTCGAAGTTATTTCTGGGATGTGGTCCTTAAGTTCGACGGGAGCAGCATAACTCTACAGGGGGAATCTTCAAGCATAGTTCAAACATAGTCAGCGGACGATATTCTGACCATGTCATGTCATTGTTGCATCTCTTTGGAGTATGGTTTAAATTTGTCGCCCAGAATCCGCCTGTTGGGAGACATGCCGACCTAATATGTTTTCTGCTCCCGCAGAGGGGAGGCCCTGAGAGTGGCCGTGGCTCGAAGGGGACGCCTTGGAGGAGGCGGTCCCTGCAGGAGGCTTCTCGACACCGTTTCGGGCTCCCGGGAGGCTGAGCTCTGGGCCTCCCAGATGGGGTCGGAGCAAATGGGGTCGGCGGATCCCGCCGCACCGCCGATACATCGGCGAGGCGGTTCGATGGGGAGCCCGATTTTCTCCACGCCAGCGTCACCGATGCATCGCCGATGCTTGGGCGATGCAGCGGCGGAGGTGCGATCCTTCGACCCCATCTTCTCGGTCCCCATCTAGAAGGCCTATATTATCGTAGCCAAGGCTGGACTCCTTCAGAGGTTCTGGCGCTGGATGTCTGGGTTCGAAGTCCGAGGGTCAGGAACCCCCCAGGACCTCCCCTGGGATAAGCTCTAACCAGAATTCCAAGGGGGAGAGGGGGGGGGCAAGCCTGCCATGGCGACGAGAAGACTCCCGGATGGTCCCAGGGAATGAGAGACGCCCCCTAAAAACGAGATCCTCGAGCCTCCTCCTCCTCCTCCTCCTCCTCCTCCTCCTCCTCCTCCTCCTCCTCCTCCTCTTCCTCCTCCCCTTCCTCCTCCTCGTCCTCCCCCTCCTCCTCCTCCTCCTCCTCCTCCTCCTCCTCCTCTCCTCCTCCTCCTCCTCCTCCTCCTCCTCCTCCTCCTCCTCGAGTCGCCGGATCGGAGGGCTGTGCAGGCGTCGCCTGTAGTTCCGCGCCCCCTGCTGTGGAGATCGCCGCGCCTCGCGCCGGGTTCGTTCCGATGCGTCGCCGCCGCCCCCGTGCGCAGGGCCGCGCCGAGCACACCGCACCGGGCCCTGGACGGCCCTCCCCGGCGCACGAGGCCTCCCTCGAGCCGCCGGATGCCAAGGGCTCCTCGAGCCGCTGGGTGCCAGGGTGCCCATCGGTCGTTGAAAGCAGGTGTTTCTGGATGCCCAGGTTCCAGTCTACTCCGAGCGCCCTCCTACTTCAGTGATCGAGTGGTTTTTCACCTGTTTCCGTCCTCCTTAGGGAGCGGGCGGAACCCAATCCACTTTCAACGCCTTCCTACCTCATGTTTCTACATACTTCTTCCGACCGACGGTACCTTCTCCGCCGTGCCTTCCAGCCCTATCGGCCACGCCTCTCCGAGAGGGTCCTCGGGCTGGCGGGGGAGGGGGCGGCGCGAGCAGCAAGGGGGCAGTCGGCGAGGGGGGCAGGTCACCTTTTCCACCGCCACTTCCAGTCTTAGGTCAGGCACGTCTCTCTCTACAGGAGGGAGGGATGTTCAAAAACAGGTTAAAACAATAATCCGGGGACGATGTGCTAAAACTATGTCTGATCACTTTGGGAATACATGTTTTGGGTGTTCTGTGAAGCTTTCGCCCAAAACCCCCCTGTAGGGGGACAGGCCCGACCGAATCCCAGCCCCATCGGCCGCGCCTCTCCGAGAGGGTCCCCGGGCCGGCGGGGGAGGGGGGCGGCGCGAGCAGCACAGGGGGCAGTCGGCGAGGGGGGCAGGGCGCCCTCTCCACCGCCACTGCCAGTCCCATCGGCCGCGCCGCCTCTCCGAGAGGGTCCTCGGGCCGGCGGGGGAGGGGGGCCGGCGGCGCGAGCCACGACGGGGCCGTCGGCGAGGGGAGCGCGGCCACCGGAGAAGCCTGGAGTGCCCCTCGAGAAGGCGGGGGGCCCCCGAGAAGAGCCCCCCCAGTTTCTGAGCCTACGTCGGGCCGGTCCCCCTGCAGGAGGGATGCTCAAGCAGATGGTTCAGAACATTGTCTGGGAACGATTTTGGAGTATGTTTGAATATCGTTGAGCAGTGTTTGGCTATGTTGAACTTGTCCTCCAAAATCCCCCTGTAGAGGGGGACAGGTCCGACCTCATTCTGAGCGTACCTTCCTTCCGGCCAGACCGAGGTATCAGATGGAGATCGGCTCGGGGAGGGTACCCTGATGCTCTTCGTGTTTGCTTGATGTGCTGGTGCACCACTGGGGGAGGGCACCATCGAGTGATCCTTCTGGTTTGGGGTGTTTTGGCCGGCGAAGGGTCTCATGTTCTTGAAGGGCGCTCTTCTGTCGTAGGCCCGACCGTACGGCAGCCCCTGGGCCCCCCCAGGAAGACATCCTGCTTTGTTGGAAGGCCCCGAATCTGTTGGAAGGCACCCAGGTCTCCCCCCTCTTGTCAGGGTGTGCCAGCCGAGTTCCTGGCCCCAGGGGGTGCCCAAATTTTTGCGCAGCTGTGGAGCCCCCGGAGCCCTCTGGGCCTGGTGAAGGGTGTTCCGAGGACGCTCGGTCCTCGCAGGAGATCCTGGGGACCTCCCGAGCCAGGTCCACCGTTGGCAACACCCGTCCTTGGGCGCGCTGCCAAGGGGCTGGGGGGAGGTGGGCCGCCCCCGCCGCCCTCCCAAAGCCCTACTGCCGCCAAGACTTTGACCTGGGGACACCGTTGGGCTTAACAGGAGCGGGCGCTCACCTCCTCCTCCTCCTCCTCCTCCTCCTCCTCCTCCTGCTCCGTAGCCATTTTGGCTCAAGGCCATGAACCGTCCCGACGACCGCGAGTCCCTTGGGGCGACCTTTGAGCGCGAGGGAGGTTCCGCTTTGAGGCCACCTGACCTTCCAAAGCCTGTGCCCCCTCGGCCGCGCTCTGACTTCGACTATATTGTTGTGAGCTCCTGGTGGAACAACGTTGCCATTCTTCGCCCCTGCACGCCATGCCAGAGTCTGCGAGGAAGGCGAAGAGGGATGAGGACCGTCGCCGTCGTCGCCGCGATGATGGTGATGATGTTTCTTCTCGCTCTGCTGGCTCTGGCGGGTCCGACAAGCCCAGCCGCGAGCGGTCTGAACGCGGAGGTGGACGCGGGCGTGATCGGGCTGCCCGTGGCGCTTCGGACGGAGCCCGTGCGAGGAGTGAACGTGATGTTCGGGAGGATGCGGGGCCGCCCCGCAGACCGATGGACTCCCCGAACCAGCGTCTGGCGGCTGCAGTCTCAGAGATGGAGAGTGACGGCTTCCAGCTCTCGCAGGTTCCCACTTTCCCGCCGTCGCAGTCCCGCGGTTCCTCTCATGACCCATGGGCATCAGTTGCTGCTGCTGCTGGTCGGCATGTTCCTGCGGCGCCGCCTACTCCTATGGCGGGAACGGCCACCCCAGTGGATGGTCCCCCTTCTGCTCCTCAAGGGCTGGTGGGTGGCCCTGAGTGGACGGCATATGTCTCGCAGGTCGTGGCCACGCAGCTGCAGGCGCACACTGCGAACATCACGGCGCAGGTTCAGAATGCGGTGGCTGCCACCACGCAGCAGGCCCAGGGCACGATCATATTGCAGTTGCATGCCCACTTCGCCCCGACGATGCAGCGGGTTGAGGGCCACGAGCTGGCCATCGGCGATATTCAGCGGAAGCAGAACGGAATTGAGGACACCCAGAAGGCGCTGCGGGAAGACATCAAGCGTATCAATCACCGGCTGGCCCTGTCCGAGGAGAGCCACGCATCGGTGGACATCGCTCGCCTTGCGGAATTCGACAGGGACCCTCACCCCACGATCTTCACGATCAACGCTCCTGATGATGTGCCACCTTCTGAGGTTCGTGGTGCAATTGGGTCGTGGATTAGTGACGCCAATCTTGACGTGGAAGGCACGGTGCTGCACGGCCGAGGACCCAGTCGTCGCTTCATTCTGGAGGTTAAGGGCGGAGCCGCTGGAGTATCCAAGGCGATCGCCCTCGCCAAGGCGCTCCGCTACCCCTTCTGGTAAATGGGGGAGGTTCACGGCGAAGCAGCTATCTGGCGCTCCTGGCGAAAGGATGCCTGACTATCGCTGGTGGGCTGTCAGAGCCAGAGGCCTGGTCCACATCGAGGGCCAGCCATTGGTCGAGGTCGTGGTCAGAGGTGCCAATGAGCCGTCAAGGTTCGCGTGGAACCCAGCCGTCGTCGCACAGCACAACGTCGTCGTCGCCGCCATCTCTGCTGCCTTCCACCGTGCATTCGCCACTGTGGACACCAGTTCCTGGTCGCGGTCCTGACTCATGGGCTCAGCCTTGGCGCACTGCTGCCCTCGAGAGGGGCTCCCATCGCGAGGTTCGGACAGTCACATGGAATGCCAGAGGCTTGTGCTGTCTAAGTCGCAGGTCACTTTGTCGTGCCAAGTTGCGGCGACTGGAACGATGTCTTCGCATGCGGGCCGTCATTCTCCTTCAAGAAGTCCATGGGTCGGAGCGCGACTTATATTTTCTCGTGGGTCAGCTGCCATATGAGTGCCGGATCTTTTTCAGCGCCGCTTCATCCCCCGGCAAAGGAGGCGTGGCAAGCTTGATCACGTGGTACAAGGAATCAGAGACTCAGAAGCTACCCTCTGGTTCGATCCCGACTTTCAAGATGGAGTGTGGTTCCTGGACGTATTCCTTCTCTTCAAGAGCAAGGCGGTGGCCAGTCGTCCCGCCTTCTCAATGTTCAATATTTCGGTCCCAGTGTATCTGACCGCCTGGCAGCACGTACTCTTTTGCGACGAGCTGCGACCTGGGCCCAGCAGGATGAACGCCATCGATATTTCATCGCGCCGGGAGACTTCAATGATGCGGATGTTGCGCCTGGCTCGCTGCTGCGGCCCTCTGCGAGACGTGACGTGGAGGTTCGGGGTCACCAGCGCCAGCCGTTCTGGAGGGCACTCTTTGCGTTTCGCATAGTGGAGGCGATGTCCAATCTCCCGACCCACTTCTGTAAGCATACGCAGTCCTGCTCCACGATTGATAGGGCCTTTATCTTTGTCACCCCCGCCTTCACCCTTCGAGACAGAGGTCTCGCTGTCGGCGCAACAAGAAGCAGCTAGTCTTTCGGACTGGTCGTTGAGTGACCATGCTCCTCTCTTCCTCCAACTTCGACCGCGTGGAGGGAAGCGGCCTGCTGAACGCGCGACCCCCGATGTTGTCTTTCGGGCCCCCGAATACAAGGCGGAGCTCAACAAATACATGGACAACATGGACTGGACGGGCTGCTCGGTCGCGGAGCGCTGGACCATCACTATGGAGGTCATGATCAGAGCTGCGGCCAGAGTGCGAAAGATGCTCCTGCAGCTACCTCTGGATGCCCCCCGTGATGGCGACGAAGACGCAAGGGGAATTACGCTTCGCAGTATTGCCCGAGCCATTCGGCGGCAAGGTGATCACCTCGCCCCGTTGTTTCGACAGAACTCGTCTTATGGACGGCGCTTCCTCTATGTGGAGGATGAGGTGGTTTCCTTATTGAACGCGGGTGAGTTCTCTGAGACCGTCATCCGCACAAATGCTGAATGGCACGAGCGGCTCCAACGTCACGCTGCTACGCAAGTACAACGAGGAGAGCGTCGTCGGCAGGAGCATGCTGAGCTCTCGAGAACAATGGCGCAAGATCCAGAGGACCTCGGCGAGAGGGGCTCGTCTGTGGAACGAATCGCGTCGGCAGCTAATTTTGAATGGACTACGCCACAATGGACATGGTTATTCCTCGATGTCCACGGCGGTTGCGGACGTCCAATGTGGGCCCTGTGGTGTTGGGCTGCCTCCAACGCTTAGGGCGGCGGGTCCTGCGTGGGCTGAGTGTTGGCGAACGTGCCCTTTTCCCGCGGCACCAGATGTTTCTGTTGCGTCTCGTCAAGTCATTGTATCGGACTCACCCGGTGGTCGGACCACTGCCACTTGCAGAGGCGACCTTCATGACGACCGAGCCGCGCCCCGTGAGTCCCCGAGCCCAGTGACCGCTGATGTGGCGCGCGGGTGGAGTCATCAAGACGCTGTATCGGACTCGCTTGGCGGTCGGACCTTGCCGCGCGGCAATGGCGACCTCAACGCCGGGCCCTCCCCTGGGACCGCGCCTCGCGAGCCTACGGTTTCAGCGGCCGCTGTTGATTTGTCTGGCCTGTCTTGCATTGCTGCGTCTTCGCTGTCGGTCTCGTCGTCCTCCTGTTCGCTTCTCAGTGGAGTCTTATCGGAGTCTGACAGCGGCATGCCTCCGCCCCGCATGCCGACTGAGCTGACTCCCGACAGAACAGGACAACAAGATGAGATGCTGTGGAGAGGTGCTGAGAACATGACCACGGCACTCCAGCGTCATTGGGGAGAGGTCTTCAGGGCGAAGGAGCCCCCACCTGCGGATGTCCTTCGCGCCTGCCTTCGCGATCATCTTCCTGAATATGCAGCGCCTGCTCTTCGTCCGCCTTCGATCGTTGACCTGAAGCTGGCCCTCCGCAAAGGCAAACCCATCGCCCCTGGACCTGACAGGCTTCCTCACCGTGCATGGTTGGCTCATGATGATGCAGTGGAGGTGCTCTATATTGTCTTGCCTGATATGCTAGTGTGACTGGATCTCCGAAGGGCTTCAATGACCATCTGATGTGCTTTACTCCTAAGGATGAAAGACCTGAGGATCTCATGGATCTAGTACGTGCCCCAGAGGAGCGACGCCCCTTGGCCTTCAAGGGTACGGACTCCAAAGCCATTGCCAGTGTCATAAAGATGCGGCTACGGAGTATTGCGGAAGACCGATGTCATCACGTACAGCGAGGATTTGTCCGTGGAAGACAATTCACCACGCATATTGCAGAGTTGGATACATATGCGCGCATGGCGGGTGGTCATACGTGTGCGGAGGCTCTCATGCCTGTCTTTATCTCCTTTGATGTATGTGCTGCATGTCCGTCGATGAGCTGGGAATGGATTCGAATTCTTTTGGAATTTCAAAAGCTTACCACTGGCTACCTGTTGGCCATCCAAGCCTTGTGCCATGATATGCAGTGCTGGTCCTGGTGTGGAGAGTCCCTGCTCTTTCTCTTCACGTGAGTGCGGGTGTAGCACAAGGGCGCCCGCTCTCCGGCACCCTGTGGGCGCTGACATTCGACCCCTGTCTGCGCCACCTGTGTCATGGCAACATGGAGGGCTACGGGTGCGCCTCAGGGCTGAATGGCACGGAGGTCGGGGATACTGCGTTTCCGCTGGTGACCGGCCCTCCCGACATGGCGCCGGTGCTGGCAGGTGCATGTGTTGACGATGTGGGAGTTGTTCTACCTGCGCTGAGTGAAGTGACCCGCGTTGCCCCTGTCTTTGACGCCGCCAGGTTTCTGGCGGCCCTGAAGCTTAAGAGTAGGAAATGTTTTGTTGTCCCCCTCTGGACCAGAAACACCCCTGAGGTGCAGGCCCTTGTAGAGGCCCGACTCCAGTCTGTTGCCCCGTCGTTTTCGAGCTTTCCGATCAGGGGTCGGGCCAAATACTTGGGAATGTTGTTCGGTCCAGAGGCCACTCTTGACATGCAATGGGGGGCTCCAAGCACGAAGCTTGGATATCGGGTCCGTCTGGCCGCCTCCACTCGTGCCCCTGCCGAAGCCTCCTGCAGGAACTTTAATTCATGCTCTCTCCCCGTCCTCTCTTACCTCGTGCAGTTCTTTCCTCTCCCGTCCTTTCTCATCCGCAAATAGCACTGGCTCTTGCATAAGCTGCGCCAGCTGCCTCCGAACACGTTTAAACGGGATGAACTCCTCAGTCTGAGACTTTGGTTTCCAGGGTCGGCGCCTGCGGCGAGCGGTTCGGGCTCTCCACATGGACAAAAGCCAGAGAGTTCTCTCAACTTCTGAGTGAGTGGCACTGGTGGCATGGCACGAGTATTAGGCACGTTCGTGGCGAATGGTCTCCACCTTGTTGGGCTATGAGTCGGTCGATCGCCCAATGTGTGGTCTCTGTTCTGGACGCCTCCCCCTCCGAACTCTTCCCGCGCGCAGCCCTGCACGAGGCAAAGACTCGAGGTGTAGAGGAGCAGCTTGCTGCTGCCGCGGATGGGAGGCGGCCGAGAATCCAGCGTGTCCTATCCCGATCCCTTTCCTCTTCCCTCTTCCCTGATCGCCTTCACCTCCTCCTCTCCCGTCGCCTCCACTCCTGGATCCCATCCATGAGGCACCCTGGTCCCCAAGAGATGGAGGCGAGATGGCTCGCCTTGTGGGCTGTGTTTGCCCGATCGCCTCCGTCATGGACTTGGGCGCATCTGAAGACGCTGGCAGGTGGATGGGTCACGACTGCCCGCATGCCTGTCTTGGCGCGTCGAGGTTGCCGACTGGGTTGCGAGGGTTGTCCCGATTCTTTCCCTCGCTACCTTTGCTGCCCTCGTCTCGTCCATCTGCTCGCCCGACGCCGCCCTCGCATCTTTTTGCCGTCCAGCCCCATGGCTCGGCTCGGAGCCGGCCTGGAGGAGGACCACTCGAATAGCTTCTCTCGCGTGGACGCGCACCGCATGTGTGTCCTCGCGTTCCACTTTTACCATAAACTGAAAGCTGAGCAGGATGCGTCGCCTGGCTCTGCCCGTGACCTCGAATCTCACCTGCAGATTCTCAGAGGTGTCAGGCTCTCATCGGGGGCCTGATGATGGAGGATGGCTCTTTAAGGCACGTGCGCTCCTCCTCCTCCTCCTCCTCCTCCTCCTGCTCCTATTATTCCTCCTCCTCCTCCTCCTCCTCCACCTCCTCCTATTATTCCTCCTCCTCCTCCTCCTCTTTCTCCTGCTCCTCCTCCTTCTCCTCCTCCTCCTCATCCTCATCCTCATCCTCATCCTCATTCCTCCTCCTCCTCCTCATTTCTTCTCCTCCTCCTGGGCGGGGAACCCATGCGTGGCCGAGGCTGGCTGAGGCCAAAGAAGCCCCGCC